GGCTCTTGGCGCGGTGGGCGAGTTGAGCTTGGGCCATCCCGGCTGGCCGGCCTCCTCGGCACCCGGGGTTTGGCCACCCCGGCACCAGCGCAGCCCTGCTGCCAGTCGCCCGATGCGGCATTTCATTAGAGAGCTGCATGCAAACTGCTCGAGGATTGACTCATATAAAATCAAAACTAAAAGACGTAGTTAGGGTAGTAGTCACTTTACTAAGCTGTGAAGTAATACTAGCAGTGGATTTTTTTTTTTTTGAGGGTAGTAAAGTTGCTTTTGCAGTAGTGGGCAGGAGACAGTTAAGTCTTTTACAGCCTTCTTTGAATAGTCGTTGGGTGAAATCTTTTATCTCAAGCCTCATATTGTATTAGATAATGACCAGGAAGCATCAGTATTTATATTACCAAGTTGCAGGTGATTACTATTATTCCTAGAATTGCAGACGTGATTGTTCCTATGTTACCACGCTTTTTAGAAAACATCTATTGCATAAATGTTTTGGTTTCTGTTGTTCAGAGTAAGTGAAATCTCTTTTCAATTACTTGTACATATATAAAAAAAAAAAAGTCAGTAAAATACACAATGTTAATCTTCTCCAGGCAGCTAAGGAAGGTGGTACAGTTTAGGCTGAAGTCGTTTGTGTTGCTGAAGTTTCGTCAGTTACGGTTGACAGAAAAAAATAAATACATCTGGACTGTGTTCACCAGACATGGGGAGGAGTGAATCAAAGCTCTGGTGCTGGTTATTTATAGCTATTTACAAATATTTTACTTTAAAAGAAATAATATTTGGAACAGGAAGAGATTATTTTCCTTAACTTCTCTAGAAGTTTTATTTTCCTTCATATGCTGCACCAAGCAGGAGTCTTATTCAGTTTTCCAAATTCTCCAGCACATAATAGTTAAATGTTTTTGTGTCAATTAAAATTGACAGGAAGTCAGTTTGAACAGCATTGGAAAATGGAAGTAGTTGGCAGAACTGGCTAATTTCACTGAATTTCCTTTTGCTAAAAATACCTCTAAAAGAAGGTCTCCTTTTGAGATACAATGAATGCTTGTTTGACTGTAGTTTAGAATTGATGGTGACTCTTGTCCTTTAACCAAAAGGGCTTGAAAAATATGAATAACCTTTTGAAACATATTTAGCTTCCTCTGTAGTGTATGTAACTAGGCTCATGTCTGCCAAAAGTTTACATACATGCTTAACTTGATGTATGCGAGTAGCCCCATCAGCTCAAATGATCTCCAATAGAAATGAAAGTTCTGTAGAGATGCTTATGTGAAGTTGAGCATTTTGTTTGTATATGTGTTGGTAGGATTAAGGAGTTCTGAGTGTAGTTGCCGTGTTAAATTTTGAGACACAACTCTTTCATTAATGTAGGAAATGGCAAGATTCTAGTCCTGCTAATTGAAAGCATACAGCATGAAAATACATTAAAAATAATTTTAGGTTGCAATGGCAGTATTAAAAGTTACAAAATACTAGAAATAGGGTGAGTTTCATGTAGTTATTTAGGTCCTGTGCTGCCACTGCGTTATGATACAAGAACATCATACTATACTTACAGGACAGCCTAGAACAGTCATTTCACAGGTTTGGCCAATTTGGCATGTAAGTCAGCATTATTTTGCTAGGAAGAATTCTTGCTTGGACATCTTTCACTTGTGGAAGTTGGTGATGTGTGGCAACGGAGAGGATTATAGGAAGAGAAAGGGTTGTCTCATGAATAACAGTTCTGCCCTGGCTCTTGTACTTACTGGGACCTTTTTCCCCCTGGAATAAAACAAAGAGGGGAAGAAAGGTTGCAGGGATGTCAAGACTAACAGGAATCACCAGGACACAAATGTTGCCTTGCAGCAGAGGAGTTCACTGCTTCATGGAGTAACTGGGTGAACCTGGCTGGTGCTGGGTGGTGGGACCTGGTTCTCTGCAGGGTGGTGGGACCTTCTGCTGCCGGGGATCCCAGCCCTGGTGGGTGGACAGGGGAGATGCCAGTGACCCCAGAGGGGCGAGGCTGTTCCAGCGAGGCATTTTCTTTGGTGCGATTCCCCCTGCATTGGCTTTTATTGTGTTTCATCTGGAAAAGGTCTCATCATAAGCTTTTTCTTCTGATAAGTGCTAGTTGTAGTCATTCTAGGTATTAGAGAATTACTTTATTTGGAAAGAAAGAGGCTAAACCTTCTCAAAATGTTTTAAATACATTTTTGCAGTCTCAGGCAGTAATTAAAGTCCTCAGTAAAGAGATAGAAATGACATAGGTGCAGCACCTTTAACTGTTAGCCTTTTGTCACTCAGAACAGGGAGTATATTTTGAAGGCCTGCTGCACCGCGAGCTTGGCTTTGGTTTCTGCGTGTTAGGAAACCACGGCTGCCTGTGGCGTCCCTGCAAGTTGACTGCCTCTTAACGTCTTTAACTGTGAGGCGATGCTGAAGTCTCTGCTCGTGACCCTTTGTACTGCTCTGAATTTTCTTTATATGTTTCAGATGATGTTTTTAATGACTTTTCAATTTTTATCCTTTTGTGTTGGCAAAAGATTTCTGTTCCTTATCAGAAAATGAAATGTTAAACTGGCATATTGAAACAGGGAGCCCTCCCCCCTTTTTAGGTACAATTAAAGTAATTGCTAATGAAGACAGTGAAATGCATGCAGATTATTTGGAGCCTTTGCACAACCGAGCTGCTTTCAGCAGTACTAATCTCCAGCCGTCTTTCCTTTCTGAGGCTGTTTCAAAACCTCCTTCAGCTGCAGTGCACATAAGAAATGAAACAAATCTCATGGCGGGTCCTCAATTTGATTAAACGGAAAGCTCATGAGAGCAGCAGCCCTTTGAGTATTTTGCACTTCAGGGGCTTGATGTGGAGCAGTAGCTGTCTGGCACTGCTACATGGCTGACTTTTCTGTGTATTATCAGAATTGAGAAACTGTGTTGGTTCTCGATTCTTTGTGTTACCTTTCATACTGAAAACAAGTTGTTAGGCGTTTCAGGCTCCCACCCTTTAGTCAGCTGCGGTTTTGCATTTGGAGTCATTACATTTCCTATTGCTGGAGTTTTACAAGCAGGTACATTATACAGCGCTGAGAACAAGTTTTACAATATAATGTAGCGAGGCTGGTAATCTTGAGGATAGGTCAGGTTAATGGATGGTGGAAAAGCTGGGTGGAAATCTTAAGGATGCAGTAAGGAACCAGCTTGTGCTGCTTTAGCAAACTCTGTGTTGGAGAAAATTTCCAAGTTAAAAGCTGTTGTTGCTTGCTGCTGCTAGCAAATGGCCGTGGTCCTTTACAACAGAGTTGTCCAGAACACAGTAACTGGAGGCAGTAGGGTTGTTTGATGTTATGGGGTTTGTAGCACGCGCTTTGTGATGCTGCAGCAGTAATGAATCAGGGTGAAGGACTGGAAGCCACCTCCTGGGGGACGTTCTCTTTTGAGCTTTGTTACTAAACAGGTTGATTTGCAGCTGAGGTAAAGTGGCTTGCCCTTCTTACTGTCCTTAAATAGATTTTCTTTACCTTTTTTTTTTTTTTTTTTATGTGAACGAATATATTGAGCGAAGTGTGCTCCTTTGTGCTCTCCGAGCACATGTTTATACTTGAAGGCAAGCATACATTGCATAACTGTGCAATTAAAAATAGTTACTTGAGCTTTGCTAAAAATGTTTGTATTTCTAGTACTTGCTGATGGCTTAAGTATGCAAAATATTATTTAATTGATTTTGATTACGAGCTTTATGAACTTGGGCAGAAGATGGAATGCCAGGACAGCGACACAGCTCCTGTGGAGGTTTTAAGGGTATTTTAACGTGGCTCAGGTGGCTGGGGAAACAAGATATTCTTCTGAGATACAAACAAACTTTCTTTATCAGTGAATGCTGCATAACAAAGGAAAGTGGATTCTAGGCTAGAAGGTGGACTAACATGGAGACATGAAATTATTGTTGCCATTGATTGACCATTTATTTATTTTCTTCCGCAAAGATACATTCAAAAGCCTCTCCAGAGTATTCAGAATTGTGAAGTTCTCGGGCATGTTGTGTTTTGAATTGAAACATGAAGCAAAGATACATTTACGATGCATGATGATTTTGTAAAAATGTAAATGGGGCTCAATAGGTTTCAGACAACTCTTCACTTATTAGGCTGCATTATAGTCATTGAGGGGGGAAAATTCAAGATACTGTCTAAAGATACGTTATATCCTACTCTCATGAGAAATTCCTTCATAATTTTGCTTGTCTTGAAGCATAATATGATATTTCTTCTGATCTTTCAGTTGACTTTTTGATGGGTTTATTTTAAAAATCCTCATGTTTGCATCTTCAAAGCACGTGAAGCTGGTGACAAAGTTCTGCTCCATGTTAAAAGCAGAGACCTACGGTTCAGAGCTGGTCAGAAGGGAGATCTTGAGATGAAGTGTTCACGTTATAGTAGTGTATTAGATTTCACTGTACATCGAATTGAGACTCTTTTGTGCTGAAAGAATAAGCCTGTACAGATTTGTTTGAAGAGGCAGGCACTTAAAATTATAGCAAATCTTTATTGACTGATTGAGTGGGAAGGGGAGGGAGAATACTCATGTTGGTGACCAGGGTGTTACGCTACGAACTAGCTAAGACATAAGACAGTGACTCAAATATAGTACTGAAGGCAGTATTGTGTTTAAGAATTGTAATTTTTCTTTCCTCATGTATACTAATTAGTATAGCTCTTCTACCACAGTGGGTCTTCTGAGCAATGTGTGTAGTATTTTTGGTTTAGCACTGGGTTTTTCATTGACATTTGAAGAGAAAGGCAAATCATTAACCTGAGTTAGTAAGCACAGGCTTGATGTAGAAACATTCAATGCTAACTTTGGCTTCTCTTCTCTCTGTGTTACAGAAATACTAATACGGAGCATTTGACCTTCCAATCTCCACAGCTGAATCTCCTGATACCAGGATTAGGAAAGAAGAAAGAGTGCCTTCAGAACCAATATGTAGCAAATGGGTATCACACCTCTGAAGCTCCTCCCTTGGTTCAATGCTTGCATGTTTTAAGGATCCTTGTTGCCTCAGCAGTGAATTGTTCTTGTGAACTTCAGAAACAGATTTCATGTGGTGCTTGCTAAACGTTGAGTCACCATGAGTAGTAATCTAGGAAAAGAAAAGGACTGTAAAGAGAAGGATCCAAAAGTCCCATCGTCAAAAGAAAGGGAGAAGGAGGCCAAAGCCTCTGGAGGATTTGGGAAAGAGAGCAAAGAAAAGGAGCCTAAGACCAAAGGGAAAGATGCCAAAGATGGAAAGAAGGACTCCAGTAGCACGCAGCCTGGGGTAGCTTTTTCAGTGGACAATACGATAAAAAGACCTAATCCAGCCACAGGTACCCGCAAAAAATCCAGCAATGCTGAAGTGATCAAAGAGCTAAATAAATGCCGGGAAGAGAATTCAATGCGCTTGGACTTGTCCAAGAGGTCTATACACATGCTTCCATCAGCTATCAAAGAGCTAACGCAGTTAACAGAACTTTATTTATACAGTAACAAACTGCAGTCCCTACCGGCAGAGGTGGGTTGTCTTGTGAACCTGATGACACTGGCCCTGAGTGAAAACTCACTTACCAGTTTGCCTGACTCTCTTGATAACTTGAAGAAACTGCGCATGCTTGACCTGCGGCATAACAAACTTAGAGAAATCCCTTCAGTGGTGTATAAGCTAAGCTCTCTCGCCACTCTTTACCTACGCTTTAATCGTATAACTACTGTGGAAAAGGATATCAAAAACTTGTCAAAACTCACCATGCTTAGCATACGAGAGAACAAAATCAAGCAACTACCTGCTGAAATTGGTAAGCGATTACACTGATTGAAAGTTTAATTCTGTGCTTATGTTCATTTTGCAGTTCAGTTAAGTATACATAAACTGCCACTTCTCCAGGTGCCCTTCTCCATTGAGACTTCATAAAATTATGCTCATTATCATACTGGTGCAATGTTAGCTTATATTGAGAGTAATCGATACCTTGGATATATATTTTTTTAAAAACAACAAAAGCCCTTTTTCTTCATCTATCATCTTAAAATTAGATGTATCTTGTTTTCATCTTTGCCTTGTGCTTTCACATATTGTGTCTTCAGAGCCCAGATGGTTTAAAAAAAAAAAAAAAAAGATACAGGGGCATATTTCATGTTAAGATTTCTTTATAAATCATTTATGAACTGTTGCAAGTGATAAACACATTATGGGCATGTTACGAAGGGGTGTGACCATGGTAATACAAGGTGGAATACGTAGCTACATGCTATTATCATGAGTAAGCTGTTGGATGCCGTAATAGTTAATAATGTAGGTTAATGATTCGTGAAAGCCTCTATCTTTTATAAGTCATTAATATATTAATACATGGACTCTTAATGTAAGGTGACGAAATGTTGTATGCGTGGCTGGTGATTCTTAGGACTTTTTAATGAATAATATTTGTTTTTCCAAACGTTGTTACAAAAGTTTGAAAGACGGTGAAATAGTATGAAAGTGGCTTATTAATTTAAATAGTTTATTACAAAATATGTGCTGGAATGGCTGTGTTATCAAGAACTCCTAAGTTGTTCCTAATAGGTTCTGATTCATGGAAAGCATCTCCTTATCCCACTGTTCTCAAGCAATATTTGAACAATGTATGTGCCTCATAAAAGGGAGGTTCTAACATCAGTGGGTTTTTTCCATGTATCACCAGTTTTTAAAATGCAAACATAGCTTAGTCCCTTTAGAGGGAGGGGGAACATAAACTTCATGCAGTTGAGAGACTGCTTTGACTTTCTTCAAGTGTGGAAAAAAAAACTTGTAAAAGCCCTTGTAACACTGTGAGTAATAATTCCTGTGCCCTGTTTTTAAAAGCTGATGTGGAACTTTTTCCTGTTAACCGAGCCAGTGTGTGAGTATGTTAAGTGTTACTGAAGTTGGCCCCTGCACTCACTAATTTTGCAAAGCTTGGGAAATGCTCTTTTTTGGATCCCTAATAGATCTCTTTCAAACCAGCAGCATTTGCCTCTTTCTCCTGTACCTTGATATGAAAGATACATAAGACAACATGTTCTTGATGGCAGGAACTCCTGGCCACGTCTGGAACTGCTAATCGTGTTACCTGCAATGCCTGGTACAGACAGCTTCTGTACATGGTAACAGGAGGGAAGAAATGTAGTGAGGCTGTCGGTTCTTGGTCTGTCTTTGGGTCTCTGTAGCAGCTATTGGAATGGATGCTACTATAGCCACAGAAACACTTTTTTGCTAGGCAAAAATTAAATGGTTAATGCGGTATGTTTTCTGATCAACATGATTTTTGAGTTGGCACGAGCATCTTGGCAATCCTGGGAATTTCCCCTGGGAGAACTAAGGAATTATAATTTTGACTTATTTTGACACTACAGTTTAAGTCCAACAGCATCTTTGAATCTCTTACTTATCAAAGAATCATACTGGAAACCATGGGGCTGATGTTCGCAAAAAAAAAAAAAAAAACCAACATACCATGTGTTTCTATGTATGTTGAAGAAATTCTGGCCGATTTAGCTGGTTGAGCTATGTTACACAATTGTCAGTACTTTACCTGGGCCTATTTGTGGCTCAGTTATTCAATGTAATCTAGCAAAGAGTCAGCTTCTGAGCTTCAACTGGGGATAGTACTGCATAAATTTAAATTAATACTAGTGTGTGAAGAAAAAACTTGTGAGATGTTGCATTCCAGTGTTTGCTGTTGCCCTTTAGAAACTTTCTGTAGGTGTGTTTGATACTGCAGACATTATTGTTGCTGCTGGAACCTCTTTGTTTCTTAACTATTTTATTTGTTGAAGTCCTATAGTTAAGTTTACCTTAAAGTATATAATTTCTGTATGTGTTTGTTCACAATAGTCTTGAAAGAGATCATGTGTTAGTTTCATGGAGAAATTTAGTAGGTATATGTATCATGAAGGAATGTATGTGACTTGCTTTTTTCTTTGGTATTTTTATTATTCGTGTCTTGATACGCATACAGGCAGTGTTCTCAGTTCTTTATCAAACCCTAGCTTGAGAACATTAACTACTTTACTGCTGTCTTTGTATCCAGCAGTTAGTCATGCCTTTATTTGTATTGTGATAATGCCCATGTTCCTTGTTACGGGTGAGCACCTCATTGTGGAAGGCCTTTTAGAAGCACAAATGCAAGACGACTATCACCCTTATGAAGAATTTTGAAGGGAAATTACTATGTTCAACAGCAAACTTTACTTTTTATTTTACTTTTTATTTACTTTTACTTTTTATTCAAAGTAAATTTTCGTGACTAGGTTGCCAGCAATTTAATCACTTGAAAAATAAATTAATTAAAGCATTTCGAAGTTTAAGTAACACAAATAATTTTAACTGCCAAGACATACAGAACAGGCATTTGAAAACCTTTTTCCTCAAATAGTAAAAACAGACAAGATAGTTTCACTTTTGTAATTCGTTTCTACTTGCGCACTTTCATGAATCTTTGTTCTAGCACGAAGATGAAATGTTTGAGCTGGAAACACAGCTGAAAAATGAAGCCGCCGAGAGATGTATTTCTTACTTTCCAGTGGAATTTCTCTGTTTCTTTAAGCACTTGTTTATTTCTCTATGTTTTACATGTGCACTTTAAAAAAAAACTTGCCTTTTAAGTCCCAATGATTTTAATCCTTTGTATGTTTATAATGCAGTTCCTAAATACTATATACAAGCAAACACTTATATTATCAGCTTGTAAATAACAGAAATTTTTGTTGCTGCAAAGCGGGAAGTAAAATGAGGCCATTATCTTTTATAAAGCAATATCATGTGGAGCATTTCAAATTCTTTTTGAAAATACCCCATTGTTCTAAGGCCTAAGGCTCACATATCTGATGGTAAGCTAGTGTGCTTGTTCATATTTTTAAAAATTCAAAGCTTATGTATCCCACTGACTTGGCCAGCAAGGAAGAGTCTTGCAGCAGTTAGTTCCGATGTGTTCATGTTGCTGATCTGGTACGTAACTATGCGAAGAATCCTGGGTTTTCTTTACTTTGTTTTTTGGAGGTAGGTGTGCTACAAAAGGTTGCCCTGGACAAAAAAAAAAAAAATTAAAACCCTAGACTTCAGCTAGAAAGATGGGATGTTGCTACTATTCCCTCAAAGAGCCAGCCTTGAGCAGCGTAATGGAATTAAAGTCTTACCTTGATGCTAGAGACCTGTGATGGCTTTCACTACCACTGAACACAAAATATCAGTTCTGTATAATTATAAAAGGCTTTCCAACTTTAGGACCTTGTTGCTTTAAAGTAAAGATTCACCGAATTTGTAAGCAATCATCCCATTTAATTACTTTTCTAGGAATCTTTAGTCTCCTTATACAATAAAGTTTATTTTCCTTCTACTCTCAGTGAAAGAAATCAAAAGTAGGTCCTGGAATCGTAAGTGCTTTAATGTTTGAGACCTTTTGTCCAACACCTGGTATGCCTATGACTGTTGATTTTTGTGCCAGCAATGTTTCACTGTTCTTAGATGCAGCAGTTCCCCTCTGTTCCTTACGTTTGCTCTCCCACTGTATGTGCTGACAGCAGTCATATCTTCTCCCAGCCATTACTCACAATTTTTAGTATTGCATAAAACCTCCATTCCTTCTGTCACCCCGCTATCCCTTTTCTGTGTTACCTTATGTTTGGAATGCTGAGCATGCTTGATTAGTTTGAATATACTGTTCCAGATGAGTTTCCCTCTTTGTGCTGGAGATAACTCTGTGCATCTGGATCGTATTGCGCTTGTGTTAGACTTAGCATACAAACGCTCTTGTGACCGCCTAAGACACCTGCACTCTTTGCCTCCTCTGTTCTCCCTTTCTGCCAGAGGTCAACCTTGGTATCCTAGTAGAAATGTACTCTTTTTTACGCTACTAAATTTCATGCAGTTTATATTATTTTTAGTTACCTGTTTCTTCCAGTGCCTCTAGCATGCTACTACATCAGACATCTTCATGGATTCTAGGTTGACTAGACTGAATAAACTAGATCTTACAATTTTTTTGTAGAAAACTCTTTCTGCCAAGCTAACTTAATAGTTTACTGATATTTTTGCAAATAACTTTTCATTTGTCTCCGTTTTCATGCCTTGTACTTTCATGCCTTTTGTTAATGTTTCCTGCAAATTCTGCTGGCCTGTGTAGTGTTTAGATGACTCTCCCCTTGTTATTTCCCCTATCTTAAATTTTGAATTGATAGTCTCCAATCCTATGGCAGTGTTCCTTGTTTGGTTGATGACATGTAGAAACTATACTACTGGTCGAGTGATTTCAAAATACATTTCTAGAAATGCTTATCTAGAACATCTACTGCTCGCTGTGCAAGCATACAGTATTAATACTTGTTAGAAATAGATTCCTTTTAAGGAAACCTGAAACTAACTCTAAAACATTTCTTGAAAGCCTGAGCGAAGGTAAAACATTTATCAAAATGTTTGTAAAAACATCGTTGATCAGATTTTAAGTGGTCCTGGAAACTGCTTTGAGACAACTGACCGGTTACGGTGTTTATCGTCTTGAGGAAAACCTAGAAGAGGTGAACCTACCAGCACTGAGCTGCTGGGAAGTAATCTAAAGTTTGGTTCTGTTTTGGGCTTTAAACTGTCTTTAGTAGTTAAAACAACACAAACTTAAATGAGGTGATTATACTGGGGGAAAAGTTGCTTTGCATTTAAAACAAACGTTTTAGTGAGAAAGAGGAAGTGTTATTATCTATAGTTAGTAAACAGATGGGTGTGTTTCTGGTCTTTATTTTCCCCCAGAATGCAGTACCTCTCATTCCTTTACATCCAGTTGCTTTA